GAGATCAACAACTAACTTCTCCATGGAGTCCTCAACTAATGCCTGTTGAAAACAGGAGCAAACACCCATACATAAACACTGAGTCGAACTAGAACCCAGAAGCAGATGGAGAGGACAAGACCATGCGGTAGAAGTACATAGAGACAGCTTACCTGAACAAGGAGGAGCTAAGGGCCACTAGACTGATAGCTGGGAAGCCAACAGGGGACTGACTCGGACCCCCCTGAATATGGGTCTCAGCCAGAAGGTCTGAGCAGTCTAAGAGACCTCAGACAGTGGAGCCAGGATGTATCCCTGGTGCACAAAAGGACTTTGCAAACATATCCCCCATGGAGGGATAACTGCCTTATTCTAGAGATAGGAGAGAGGCCCTAGTCCCTACTTCACAGGACCTGTCAGATCTACATGACCCCAACTGGATGGCATTCCCCTACATATGGTATTGTGGTGGGGGGTTGGGAGGGGAGGGTGTTTAGAGTGCATGGGAGAGGGTAGAGAGGGCAAAAGGGAGGGAAGGAGGGAGGGAGGGCTTGGGGGGGGGAGGGAGGGAGGGAGAGGGAACTGGGATCGACATGTGAAATAATAAATTAAAAAAAAAAAAAAAAAAAACGCTTTGACTCCAAAATTTAAGTTGAAGAACAAGTTACTGGGGAAAAGTATTTCTATTTTTGTTTCCACAGAAAATGAAAAGATGTGGATTCCTTCCAGACTAATGTGGTTTGATCACACCAGACCGCCTGAAACAGAGTACAAGCTGATCCTACATTCCAAACAGCTGGACAAAACAGCCCTACAGACTACAGCTAGGATATCTGAATCTTCTTCGAATCCCCCAAGACAGCGCCCCTTACCAGCAGGAAGTAGTTTGGAAAGAACGACGCCCAAATTCCCAAATATTGTGTATAAATGTTTGTTTTCATTTAATTGGACTTTGTTATATAAAATTAAATAAAAAATACTCTATATGCATAAAAAAAAAAAACAAAAAAAAACAAAAAAAAAGAAAGACAAAAATTAACATAAATGTCGGCTATTAAATACTTTAGGTATGTTTTTCAAGCAGGACAATAGTATAATTTCATAATTGACACTTTTTCCCATTCACAAAGCTTGGGGAAAATATTCCAGTAACATTAGATATCAACTCTTGAATACTCAAAATAGTCTGTCTTCTCTTGTTATATATAGATGCATATAAATTAACTCAGCTTTTCTGCATAAATTATCCCCTCAAACTAATTTGCAACATATAATTCTATCTGTAAAAAGCTAATACAACCCTTCCTAAATAGAATATGAATAAAAATATAAAAAGAGCACACATTTATTTATTTATTTATTTATTTATTTATTTATTTATTTTAAAGCACATATTTAAAAAACCCGAGCATAAAAACTGCACATAATGGTTTTGGCCATGAACCTTTTCCTTCAAATGCTAAGCATGGGCTTGACCATGAGCTGCAAGGAGGAGGAGAACAGCCATAGATGGGTCTTCAGTTTTTTAAGAATTCTATCAAATCAGTGAGAAGACATGGAAAATTCATCTGGAGTGGAGTTGTGATGGTATGTTTCCCTTTCAACAGCTCTCCACATACTTCAGTCTGATACGAATCGGGGGCAGTTTATTTTAAAGTATAAACATACACTCAAGGGTAAGCCTATTGGTAACCTAGTTTTCATTGGTGTTTGTGGCATTTGCTCACATAGGTCAGGCTAATCTCGTGTTTGCTATGTAACTAAAACAACTTTGACCTTCTATACCCTATCCCCGCCCCATTCCAAGTGTGAGGATTACAGGTGACTGCCACCATCTCAGGCTTCTTTCTCTTTGCCTATGTTTACACAACAAACTAGCTTCACTGATGACTTCAGAACTTTGTATGTCCAGTAAAGAGAATGGAGGCCTGTCGAGTGGAGGTGGCCAAAGACGAATGGTTCGGACCATAGGAAACTATGCACAGACTCTCTATGCACATACTCTCCTCCAAGACCCACCATGTGTGAAACACCCTGCACGCTGCATTTCCTAACATGCCTAGAAAATGCTTCTCCCTGAAAGTTCTCCAACTGCCAAACCTTGTATTTAGCAGGCTGTTCATTCAGTAATACTAACTGCACTCACCTAACTTCTCATCCTGAATCAAAGGCTGTGGATGTAACCTATAGGTAGAGAGCACAGACTTTGTAGGCAGGGCCAAGGCCCAAAGTTCAATCCCCCAGGACTGAAAAGACACCATGCTAATAAACTAAGTAAGCAAGATGGGTGTCAGTAGTGTACACATTTAGTCCCAGCACTCAGGAGGCAGAGGCAGGTGGATCTCTGTGAGTCTGAAATCAGCCTGGTCTACAGAGCGAGTTCCAGGACAGGTTCCTGTAGGACCCTACATGGACCCCCAGGGCACCTTGAGCAAGCCTGAAGCTGTTGGCAGGAACTCCTTGCCCCAAAGCTGTTATTGGTACTCTTCCTGTTTTGATAACACACACCTTGTGATAACACGCATGGTGAGGAGGAGCTAAGCCTAAAAATCCTGTTATTTTCCACTTTGCTGTAAGTCAGTATTTAAGCCCGTTCCATCCCCTCAATAAATGGTATTCGGCATTCCGACATTGCCATTGAATGAATGACCCACAGTCTTGTCTCTTTATTTCAATCTTTAGGCCTTCGCCCGATTCATGAAACAGTTCATAGTACAGGCACTACAGGCTCCAAAGCAATACAGAGAAACCCTGTCTCAAAAATAAAATAAAAAAATATAAGCAAACAAATAAACTAAATAAGAAAGTATATCAGAGATAAAGGACTCCATATTTAGTATACAGCTTTTGATTATGACACTATTATTCTGAATTTATTAGTATATCTTATTCATAATTTTTATTTAACATTCAATATTTATAATTAAATCTCGACTTAGATAATGTTCTACTTGAAAACAACAGTTAGATGATTCCTGAATCCCTAGGTTATGTTCTGTGCTAGTCTGAAGCACTAAGGATTGAAACAGGGCCTTGCTTCTGCTGGGCAAGCACTCTACCACATCCCCAGATCTTCTGAAAATGTATGATTACTCTGAAACACAGCCATACTGACTTTCCAAGGCTGTCCTTGATCTATGTAACCCAGCACATTCTTAAACTTACTATGTTCTTGCCTCAGCTGCCAAGCATCTGAGATTATAAGTACCTTGGTAAAAACATTACTTTTTTAAATGAAATATTAAAAATATTTGCATAACGGTAAATAAAAAACAACATGAATTTAGTATACAGAAATAGTTCATTATTCCCCACAAAAGTTCAAGGCAAAAGAAATGCTATCTATATTACATTCAGTTATATGTCTTCATCTCTACTTTCCAGCAAATATTCTCTTCTAAGACCAATGCCTTCCAGGCTGAGGGTGAAGCTTAGCAGGGAAATCATTGCCTGGCACCTGGCAGGGCCTGGGCTTGACCCCAGCACCACTGAAAAAAAAGTTCATGAGCTATCTCTAACGAAAACAATAATCCATTGTTACTGTATATTTTTATGATTATTCAAGTGTAATTACTCATTACCATTCTAAGATTTGGGGCTGAACCATTATTACATCCACTAATGCAAAATATTGTTAGGTATATATGTATGTATGTATGTATGTATGTATGTATGTGTATGTATATATGCATGTTGTATGTGTATAGGTATTAGGGGTGGGATTAAAAGCATATGCAATCACATCTTATATTTTATAAGAAATACAAATTTTTTTGCACTTTGGTTTGAGACAAGATCTTCCTGTACTGACTGAATTCTTGGTCACCCTGCCTCAGCCTCCTGAGTGCCTGGGTCACAGGACATACACTGACACACACAGCTCTTCATACTGTTAAGCATCTTACTATACTGAGGTTGTAATGAAGGTAAAACTCCCTAAGTTCAAGATCTGTGTGACTCATAGCTATAGAAGGTACCTTAAGGACTCAGTCTCACTATCCTTAAGAACTGCTGGAGACAGGGTCACCTGTACCACACTTATGTTAGCAAATTACTTTGTGAAAAGTAGCATCACTCTAAGAAACCAGGTCTTGGCTATAGAGATGGCTGAAGAGATATTTGCTATATATCCCCAGCCGTAAAAGCTGAGCATGCCCATACATGCCTGTAACCCCAGTACTGAACATCAGGGTTAGCTATCCTAGCCAAAGCAGTGAGCCTCCAGTTCACTGATAACCCACTTCAAGTCAACAAGGAGGAAAGACACCAATGTCCTCCTCTGAGCATCACAACACACTACATACATACACATGCACATACATACACAAACTACATACATACACATGCATGTACTACACACATACATACCATACATACACATTCATATATATACACACACCACACATACATGCACATATAAATACACTACACACACCACATATACACATGTATATACACACACACACCACATACACAGGCACATACACACATGTAGGGAGCCATTACAAGATGGTGCCTGCATCCGGCAGGCACCGAATGGTAAACAAGCTAGTGCGCAGGTGCTGGGTAACTTTCCATCCCTTGGGCTCCACCTCCCCCGTGGCGTCATATGGTCTGAGGAGCTGCAGCCAGTCAGGGGGTGACACGTCCGAGGCGGCGGTTGCCATCCTATATAAGGGATGGGTTTTTGGGAGTTTGGGGTCTCCGTTCTGAAAGCTTATGCTCTCGCTCTCAAGAGGCATTAAAGCTTTACTGCAGAAGGATCCTGAGTGTGCTGCGTCGTTCTTGCTGGCGAGACGGTAGCACGGGACAACTGGTGCCGAAACCCGGGAATCTGAGACCTCGCCATCGTCAGCACCATCGGAGACCCCTTGACTACAAGGAGGATTCAGAACTGCAGGCAGATGCGCTCGGAGAGGTATGTCTTTTCTGGACCTTAGTTTGGGATTATCTCCACCGTGGGAAGGTAGTTTGAGGCTTTTGTGATTGTACTAGGGGCCCTCTTGATCTTTCTCGCCATTATGTTTTGTTATCACCGTTACTGTAAACTAGGCAAAGATCTTGACTGCAAATGGGCAGATGGAGACTTGAGACTAGGGACAAAGGCAATTTGGAAGCTTGTTAAGAATTGCCTCGAAGATGAAGCCTGTAAGGGCGCCATAGCAGAAGGTAGGAGCACCCTTAAAGTGGTTCAGGATAGCATGTCAGAAACCAAGCGTAGTGAGAGGTTGGGCGCGCGCAAGAAAAAATCCGTCCCTAAGAAGGAAAAAGCCCCCCCCCCGTAAGTCTGACGACAAGGGGGTGTATTTGCCAGACCACAGGGATCCTCCCCCTGTTGTTACATCAAAGGGAGGAGCTGGCTTATACCCTGTACATAAGCTTGAAGCCTTAAATTTAGATAGCTCCGATGACTCCGAGGAGTCAGGAGATGAGGTTTTAGATACTGAGGAAGAGGCCGAATTAGAAGAAGAGGCTGCTAGATATGAGGAAGAAAGATACCCCACGGATGGTTACGGACAAAACAGCAAAAGGTCTCAGGGACAGCGGCGTCAACCAGTCCTCTCGCAGGCTGTCCCTTCGGCGCCCCCTGCCTATGAGATGCATCCGAAGCCGTACTCTTTTCTCCCAGATAGGGTAAAAAGAAAGTTGCGCCTCGCTTACCCTGTCTTTGAAGGCGCTGAAGGAGGACGGGTTCATGCACCCGTGGAATATAATCAGATAAAAGAGCTGGCAGAATCAGTTAGAAAATATGGGGTTACAGCTAACTTTACTCTTGCACAACTAGATAGACTGGCCATGACAGCTATGACACCAGCCGACTGGCAGATGGTCGCGAAGGCGGCACTTGTCAGCATGGGCCAATACTTGGAATGGAAAGCACTCTGGCATGAGGCCGCCCAAGAGCAGGCCAGATCTAATGCGATGGCCTTGACTCCTGAACAGCAACAATGGACATTTGACCTACTAACAGGCCAGGATCATTTTGCAGCTGATCAAACAAACTACCATTGGGGCGCCTATCAACAAATCGCCAGTTCGGCCATTAGGGCCTGGAAGGCGCTCTCCAAGAAAGGAGGGATTGATAAACAGCTCACTAAAATTATTCAAGGGACCCAAGAGCCATTTTCTGACTTCGTGGCCAGAATAACCGAGGCTGCCGGTCGTATTTTTGGTGATTCAGAACAAGCCATGCCTCTAATTGAACAGCTTATTTTTGAACAGGCCACCCAAGAATGTCGTGCAGCTATAGCCCCGAGGAAGAATAAGGGATTACAAGATTGGTTTAGGGTCTGTAGAGAACTTGGAGGAGCCCTCACTAATGCAGGGTTAGCTGCTGCCATCCTACAGTCTCAGAAGCGCCCCCTTAAGGGGCCTGACAAAAGAACTTGCTTTAGATGTGGAAAAGCAGGACACCTAAGAAAAGACTGTAAAATGTCAGAAAGGGAAAGAGATACACCGACTCTTTGCACTCCTTGTGGCAAAGGCTATCATAAGGCCACCCAGTGCCGCTCGGTGAGAGATATAAAGGGCAGGATTCTCCCTCCCATGGAAACACCAACAAGCGAGATTCCAAAAAATGGAGCAATGGGCCCTCGGTCCCGGGGCCCACTAAAATACGGGAACAGATCCACCAGGGTGATGGACGAGCCTCCCCCCCCCCCCCGGAGACGGAACAAGAATGGACCTGTGTGCCGCCTCTGACTTCTTATTAATGCCTCTGATGGGTATACAGCCCGTCCCTGTCCAAACCCCCGAACCATTGCCGAAAGGGAGTATAGTTCTCCTTCTCGGTAGAGGGTTGCTCACATTACGAGGTCTAATTGTTCACCCAGGCATCATTGACAGCCAGCACTCTCCTGAGATCCAGGTGTTATGCTCTAGTCCAAATGGGGTCTTTTCTATCAGTCAAGGAGATAGAATAGCTCAATTACTACTCCTCCCAGGCAGCCCCTATCAAGAGTCGGGGAGTAGGCGGATGGGCTCTTCAGGACAGGACTCAGCCTACCTAGTTGTTCAACTCCATGATCGGCCAAAATTGTCTCTATGGGTTAATGGCAAGAAACTTGAAGGTATTTTGGATACAGGGGCAGATAAGAGTATAATTTCCTCTCACTGGTGGCCAAAATCTTGGCCTGTTATAGAATCATCACATTCTTTACAGGGATTGGGCTACCGTTCTCACCCCACTATTAGCTCTTCTACACTCACCTGGAAATCAATGGAGAGCCATCAAGGACAGTTTGCCCCATACGTGCTCCCTCTCCCTGTTAACTTATGGGGACGAGACATAATGCAAGGTATGGGGCTTATTTTATCTAATGAATATTCACCACAAACTATTAACATCATGAAGAAAATGGGATATGAGTCAGGAAAAGGATTAGAACATCTAGAACAAGGGCGGATAGACCCCATTTCCCCAGATCCAAATCAAGGAAGACAAGGCCTGGGTTTTTCCTAGGCGCCATTGGGGCAGCACGGCCTATACCATGGAAGACAGAGGATCCGGTATGGGTTCCCCAATGGCCATTAACCTCTGAAAAACTAGAGGCTGTAACCAATCTTGTTGCAGAACAATTGGCCTTAGGGCACATAGAACCATCAACCTCCCCTTGGAAAACTCCAATTTTTGTTATTAAAAAGAAATCAGGGAAATGGTGTTTGCTCCATGATTTAAGAGCCATTAATAAGCAAATGTATCCTCTTGGTGTGGTGCAGCGAGGCCTTCCCGTGCTTTCTGCTTTACCCAGGAATTGGAATTTGATAATACTAGATATCAAAGACTGTTTTTTCTCTATTCCCCTGTATCCTCCTGACAGGTCGCGTTTCGTGTTCACTGTCCCCTCCATTAATCATATGGAACCTGACAGACGGTTCCAATGGAAGGTGTTACCTCAAGGCATGGCAAATAGCCCTATCATATGTCAATTATATGTACAGGAGGCTCTTAGACCTATCAGAGAACAATATCCAAGTTTAATTGTGATTCATTATATGGATGATGTGCTCATGTGCCATAAGGATTTAAGGATTCTTCAAGAGGCTTACCCTTTGCTGCTTAAAACATTACAACTTTGGGGTCTCCAGATTGCCACAGAAAAGGTCCAGATTGCGGATACCGGACATTTCCTAGGTTCTGTGGTTCTCCCTGACAAGATTCTTCCACAAAAATTAGAGATTTATAGGGAGGACCTGCACACCTTAAATGATTTCCAAAAATTATTGGGAGACATAAATTGGCTGCGGTCATTTTTAAAGATTCCCTCCACCGAATTAAAGCCTCTATTTGATGTTTTGGAAGGGAACACCCATATCACCTCCCCTAGATCATTGACACCCACAGCGGAGACGGCCCTCCGTTTAGTGGAGGAAGCCATTAAAGAAGCACAGTTGAGTCGCATTGATTTACTTCATCCATTCTCCCTTTGTGTGTTTAAAACAAAAAGATTACCTACCACAGTATTATGGCAAAATGGGCCTTTGTTATGGATCCACCCACATGCCTCTCCTCAGAAGATTATTGATTGGTACCCTGCAGCGATAGCTCAGCTTGCCCTTAGGGGCTTGAAGGCCGCTGTCAGCCATTATGGCAGACATCCCGCAGCTTTAACTGTTCCCTACAATTCTTTTCAAGTACAGACATTGGCCGCTACCTCTGATGATTGGGCCATATTAGTTACCACCTTTTTGGGAAAGATTGATAATCATTACCCTAAACACCCTCTGTTGCAATTTGCTGCATCTCACCCTGTTATGTTTCCCCAGGTAACCTCTCCCATTCCGTTAAAAAATGGGCCAGTGGTATTCACAGATGGCTCCAAGACTGGCCTGGGAGCTTATGTTGTGGGCTCCCAGGTGGTCTCGCGGCAATATGCCGAGACTTCCCCTCAGGTAGTAGAATGTTTAGTAGTTTTAGATGTTTTTGAAAAATTTCCAGGTCCTCTTAATATTGTTTCTGATTCCTCCTATGTGGTTAATGCTGTAAACTTATTGGAGACGGCTGGTGTCATTAGATCCACTAGCAGAGTGGCATCTTTATTCCAGAAATTACAAGATTGCTTGCTAACCAGACAGGCTCCCATGTATATTACACATATTAGGACTCATTCGGGACTTCCTGGCCCGATGAGCCAAGGCAATGATTTGGAAGCCACAAGACTGGCTGCGGCAGTTCACCCCCCCCCCCCCCCGCTACAGGCCGCTAAAGCTTTCCATGACAACTTTCATGTTACCTCTGAGACCCTACGCAGGCACTTCTCTCTCACCAGGAAAGAGGCACGTGATATTGTTACTCAATGTCACAACTGTTGTCAGTTTCTCCCTGTACGCCATACTGGTGTAAATCCAAGAGGGATTTTGCCATTACAAGTATGGCAGATGGATGTCACTCATGTTTCTTTCTTTGGGAAACTTCAATACGTGCATGTGTCAATAGACACCTGCTCCGGCGTTCTCCATGCAACACCACTCACTGGAGAAAAGACCTCCCATGTAATTCAACATTGTCTTGAGGCATGGAGTGCCTGGGGAAAGCCTAAATGCTTAAAAACTGACAATGGACCTGCTTATACTTCTCATAAATTTAAACAATTTTGTGCACAAATGCAAGTCACACATATTACAGGCTTGCCATACAACCCTCAAGGGCAGGGCATCATTGAGCGCGCACATCGCACGCTCAAATCATATTTAATTAAACAAAGAGGGGGAATAATAAAGGATTTGCCCCCCGTACCACGAGTCGCCATAGCAGTGGTACTCTTCACTATAAATTTTTTAAATTCAGATGAGCATGATCAGACCACAGCAGAATGGCATTGCTCAGACCCACATCAACCTAAGGAATTGGTGAAATGGAAAGATGTGTTAACCAATGAATGGAAAGGCCCGGATCCTATTCTAATAAGATCCAGGGGAGCTGTTTGTGTTTTCCCACAGAATGAAGAAAATCCCTTCTGGGTTCCTGAAAGACTCGCCAGGACAGTCCTGGAGCAGAAGGATACAGCAGACCAGACATATGAAAGGGGGGGAGCGAGCTTCTCCTCCTAACGTCACTGATGATGATCGAGATCTCAGCTGTCCAGGGGGAACCACGTTGGGGAATCATGTCAACGTTCCCACTTCCGATGCCGGTGATGTATAATGCACAAGTTTTTCCCCGATTCTTTGCCACCAATAAAGAGCTGGGCTTAGCTTTCCTGCCTAAAGATGAACAAATTCAGGAGCTTTGTGAAAATAGGACTATTTCCCTTAAAGGAAGTCTTTGTTTCTCAGTAACTGACCAAGGCACTGCTAATGTACCCTGCATTCTCTTAAGTAATCAATCCTCAGCATGGCTCAAGGAGGCTACCTAGGGAAATGGAGGCAAGATTGTGGCTAATGCCTCTGTAATTTATGGATGGTGGTCACGCTTTCCAGTGATAAATACCTCCGCTGCCCCACCTCGTCAGCCAAAATTAGCCCCCTTCTGTAGAGGGGAGCAGACTGAAGAATTGACTTTACCCTGGACTGGATGCCAGTCCAGGGGCTCTGCTTGGACCATTGAGGGCTTGTTCTCTTTCTCCCCCAATATGGGTATGGGAACTAATTTCACATCCTTGGATCCCATGTGATCCAACCTTAACCCTTTTGACCAATGGCTGCTCTGTGGCATTAATGGAAGCTGCACGGATCTTACATCTATGGCAATGCTTAAAGGGGGCAAAAGTGAAAAGGGGCAGTTGGAGTTTGACTGGAAAGGGTCTCTTGGGAACAGCCTCCAGTCGAGTCACAACTCTGGGTCATTTAGTTGGACTGCCTCTGATATAAAGTATCATTCCTTCAAACATACAGATTATGATGCTACACCAGTGTGTGTCTGGCCTCCTTTTATTTGGACTGTGAGCAATAATACTATTAATAATACTGAGCTTGATTTAGATTGCAAATTAGGGGGCTGTTATTATACTTTGTGCTGGGATGCTGATAAATTTCCTTTAGCTGTAGTAACTCGCATGCCACGCTTTGTGCCCGTCCCGGTGGATACACCTAGCAGTATGATGCTTTTTAGAGATCTCTGCAATTATTGTTGGTATAGTGGCTGCCACAGCAGTTACTGCAGCTGTTACGGCTTCTGCCCTTGCATTGTCCACCTCGGTACAAACTGCACAGACCATTAATGGTCTGTCGGCCACTGTCTCTGAAGCCTTGGATAGACAGGCCTCGGCAAATACTCAGATATAGGGACACACACACACACCATACATATATATGCACATACATACACATGCATGTACTCCACACATACATACCATACATATACATTCATATATATACACACACTACACATACACATATATATACACTATACACACCAGACATATACATACATACACTACACACACCACATACACATGCACATACATACACCACACACAGACACATAACCACACACACACACACACACACACACACACACACACACAACACACACGGCCAGTCAAGTCTAAGGCAAACTCAGCATTTGGGACATTAAGGCAGGACTGCTGTGAGTCCAGGACAAGCACAGGATACATAAGAAGCTCAGGTCATCCAAAGCTACAGAGTGAGATCTTGGCTCAGAAATAAGATGAAGAAGAGGAGGGAATTGGGTAGAGATGTGATAGGAGCAGGAGTGGTGTGAGATGTCTTTCTCTAACTGACATTTTCCAAACCTTCTTTAAACAAATGACAGTATATGCATACCCACAAGCATATGCAATATTATGAACAAGCAATGGTGGCACACACCAGTAATCCCAGGCCTACGAAGACTACAGCCAAGAAGATTGAGGCTCAAGGTAGTCAGCCTGGCCCAAATTGTGAAATTCTGCCTCAAAATGCAAGCCAAAACATAAACAAAAGATGAGCCTTATCCAGGCTGCTAAAGTACTGTGCTTGAATGTGAAATGTCCTTACAGATTCATATCTGAACACTTGGTCCCTGGCCAGTGGAACCATTTGGAAAAGTTATGGAACCTTTAGGAAGCGAAGTCTTGCTGAAGGAAGTCTGTCACTGGAGGTGGGCTTTGAGATTTTACAGCCTGGCTCCACTTCCTGTTCCCTCTCAGTGCTTCCTATGTGTGGATGAAATGTGACCAGCTAGCTTCCTGTTCCTACCACCATGCTTTCCCCTACTGTTACCCTACCTTCCCTACCATGACGGATTCCATTCCTCTGAAACCATAAGCATCAAGAGACCCCTCTCTCCTCTAAGTCATTTTTGGTCATGGTGTTTTACCACAGCAACTTTAAATTCTAAGTTGCTTTTGGTCATGGTGTTTTATCACAGCAACTTTAAAAAGTAACTAATAAAAACCTGATCTCAATCTTCTATAAATACTCTTATTTTAGCAAGAGCACAAAGTCGGTATTTTAAAAATCCAGCTTTATATACTTAAACTGTATCACAATTAGACAACAGAATTTTCTATTTTCAAGGATAAGATACATGAATTAATACTGATGTATACCCCTTACAAAATGTCTACGTACTAAAATTGCTATGGTCTCTAAAGATAGAGAATTCATACCTCTTAGATTACAACTGATCACACATTGTTCTTTTGAAATATGGTCACACAAACAATCATTTAAGTAACAAATGTCACCCACAGATACAATTACCTAATCAACAGAAAACTATGCCCTTGACCCTAATTACCAAGCATCACAAGAGAATCATCTCTAATTAGATGGTGAGTTGTAATCCTCCATCCACAACTAGAACGTGTCCTGTGACGTATGGCGACTCTAAAAGAAACACAACCGCATGTGCCACCTCAAGAGCTTCTCCAAACCTCCCAAGAGGGATGTTCTTCTTTAAGTGTTCTTCTTTCAAGTGTTTTGTCATATCCGTGTGAATAAATCCTGAAAGAGAAATGCTAATTCAGTTGAAGGTATACATACAAAGATGGCTGTTCATCTTTTATAAAGAGAAGTTGCTTCTGAAAACTTGTCATTATTAATAAACATTATTTATAAAATACAGAATATTGATTGCAATTAATTAAGTGTACAATTTTATTCACTTTAACTCAGTGAATATTTGTGGAACACAAAAATGCCTGACTCCCAAGTCCATGAGTCAGTGCTTGACAAATATAAAGAACGATAATGCTGTAGAATGAGTAGGCAGATACAAACATGAATAAAACAATGCATTCTTAGGGAACTATAATCTATAGAAAGAGGAAGTAATTGCTACATACCCAGTTTTAATGTAATAAATTCTGGTGATTCTGCTTATAAGGCTATAAATAAAACACTATAGAAATGACTTTCACACAGGTGGGGGAGAAAGTGAGAAATGGTGTTGAGAGAAGGTATGAGGAAGATGGTCCTAGGAATTGATTTTGCAATCCTACTAAGAATTAATCCATTCCATTTACTAAACCAAGATAACTGATGAAAGGAAGCCCAGGGTTCCAAAGTCCACATAAGAAAGTCTTATGATCATGTCTAATCCTGATAAAGATGTGCATAAAAAATGAAATTTTAACTCAATATTGGTATAAATGCAATAGAGTGTGTGAAGAGCAAGTTCTAGAGAGTGAAATATTTTATATTCAGTAATTCACAATGATTGTATGTACATATCACACATGCACAAACACCCCAGGATCAACTACGGTTTAAGATAGTGGTTCTCAACCTTTGGGTTGCAACACCTTTGGGGGTTAAATGACCTTTTCACAGGGGTCACATATCAGATATCCTGTGTATAAGATATTTACCTTATTATTCATAACAGTATCAAAATTATAGTTATGAAGCAGCAATGAAATAATTTTATGGCTGGTAGTCACCACAACATGAGGAATTGTATTAAAGGGTTGCAGCATTAGGAAGGTTGAGAACCACTGACTTAAGAAATTCCAACAAGATTATAGAGATAAATATATATCATTAATAAAATGTTACCATTTTAATTAATACTAAAAAAATTTTGAGACATGGTCTCACTAGGTAGACCAGGCTAGCCTAAAACGTCTATAAATCCACCGGCCTCTACCCTTTTAAGGAAGGACTAAGACTGAAGGCATATGCCACCATGCCCAGCTCCAATCACTAGGTGTTCTGTTTTTGTTTTTGTTTTTTAAGCACACACTAACCTTCATGAGAGCAGCTGGTATGGGGAAAGTTTATAGTTCAGGGTGACAAAGTGTACTAATTGCCAGACAAGTCACAGGAAGTGAAGTTCACTGGACACTCACAAAAGAAGTTTCCAAATTGGCTCATGTTAAAACTAAATCATTTATAAATTCAATTATAAGTCAACTTAAATGTACTATCCTTTACAAATGACATGTTGATAACTGTGAGCTAAATACTGGATTCATCTGCTAGCTCATTCTGTAATGCTATATATAAAATTAAGTTTACTTTGGGGTTTCACTTATGAAAACTTAAATGCTTTCTTTAAAGTCCTGTGAGTTTTTTTTTTTCCTACCATAAAATCTAATACAGTGAGATGTTACTCATAAAATCTGAGAAGAAATTGAAAGGTCTTTCAACAAGGACAGTGTTAAGACCTGAAAGATACACAGCATAAAATAATGTTGGTATTCGTGGCATAAATGAAGATTTCACATCTGTAACATTAAAAGAAGGTTATATGTGAATTCCACTTTATCACTACAGAAAACAAGGTGAAATAGACATGCCAAAATGCTACCATTCTCATTTGGTTATTTTTGGACACCAAAGTGACCATAGTTACCAGAATTACAGACCAGATGATGACTTTCTTTGTACTTTTCTTTTTAAGCTGTCCACAAAGACTCTGTGTGTGTGTGTGTGTGTGTGTGTGTGTGTGTGTGTGTGTGTGTGTGTGTAATCTTTGCACTCAGATAAAATTATTGAAAAAATATGAACATTATGAGTTACAGATGATCTATAATGAGGACCACAAATAACAAAACTAATGTTGTATTACTTGTGTTTGTCTATGAGAATATACTGTAAAACACAAACCCCTCTACAATAAAAATCTCAAAACATTTATTTGGAAAGTCAGCACCATTCCCTCTCATCTTTAATACAGTGTGGGAAGGAAAGGATGAAGGCGGCAGCTGACACAGATAAAGCAGATAGCCTCTTCGGACTTGCAACTGATAAACAAACCTGTGGTTGTGAGATGGAAGTCTCACTGAATAGCCCTGGCTGTCCTGGAGCTCCTATGTCGTCGAGGCTTGTCCCAAACTCACAGAGACCCATGCCTCTGCCTCCTGAGTGCTGTGATTAACGGAGTGTGCCGCCACACCTGGCCCAAAGACCAAGCTTAGTTCTTAAGGGAGGAGCCGGAATTCAGCAGAATCCAATTCTCCCAAGAACCCTTGAGTTTACTGAGATTCAATGCCCTGTGTTAGCACACTTCTTTTTAAGGATGTCCCAGAGAAAATGAACCCTATAACCACCTCAGATTATCAAAGTTGAGTGAAATAAATTTACTAATGTTAATGCTAACAACTTCATGTTACAATCCCTAACCTAAGGCTCAGGGGACACAGCAGAAGAGAGGGTGGGAAAACTGTAGGTCAGTTGACCAGGATGTCTGCTATGAAATAGTTTTTACCTGCATATGACAGGAATGTTCAACAATATGGTCACCTAAACAAGACACATACAATGGCAATGCCAGGTGACAGGGCAGCATAGAAGGGGGGGGGGGGGGATCTCAGAAGGCCTGACCCCAAGATGAAGAGCTATAGCCAGTCAATGGCTACTGAGAAAAGGAGACTCCCCAATAGGTTACCCAATTCCCAGGATTCAGTCCTACATAAATACCCATATAAGCCGCACTAAAAGGACTCAGCACGCTGTTACACATGTATAACACATGTATGTATATAACAATAATAACTGAAGAAGAGGTCATGAATATGAGAGGGAATTAAAGGAGAAACAGGAAGAGTTGGAAAGGGAGGGATAGAAATGATATCAATACAGTATTCATGTGTAATCTCAAATTTTTTAAATTAAAAAAGAAAAATCTGTGTTATCGTCTCAAAGAATTCATGATACACCTGCCTTTTATTCTTTAAAATTCTAACAAAATTGGCATAAAGTATTTCACACTTAACTCCATAAATTCATGTATTTTAATCTAAAAAAACATACTAACAAAAATAAGCCGCAAGAGACTACAGTAGTCATGGTCTATGAACACTCTTGTCAGTTTAGGTTAGCAACTTTGAGGCCGACTTCTATCAGGCTCTGGTGGTGTTTGCTGTGGTGAGGAAACCACTGGATTCTGGTTCACCAATCAAGATTCTGTTCCCTGTTCTGTGATACCATACAGTTGTGAGTGAAGGAAGCCGAACACTAATTGACACAGGGGTGTCTACATATCACAAGATTAACAAACAGATCAAAGATGGCGGGTCCCCTCTGGTTTCCTTCGGAAGCACATGGCTGACTTTCGAGTAAGAAGTTATGACTAGAAGGTTAACAAAAGGAGGGGGAAAAGCCCCCGTTTCTTTTTCTTTTTTCTTTTTCTTATTTTACATATCAATCCCAGTTCTCTCTTCCTCCCTCCCATGCTCCCCCACAACCCTCCCATCTCATTATCCTCCCCTATACTCCGCAAGGAGGGTGGCCTTCCAGGAGGGTGTCAACAAAATCTCTCAAGTCATTTGGAGTAGGGACTAGGTCCTCCCTCCTGCCTCTACATTAAGGGAATATCCCTCTATGGGGAATGTGCTCCCAAAGTCCTTTCATACACCAGGGATACATCCTGGTTCCACTGTCAGAGGTCCCTTAGACTGCCAGGCCTTCTAAATGAGACCCACGTTCGGGGAGGTCTGAGTTAGTCCAATGCTGGTTTTCCCAGCTATCAGTCTGGGGGGTCCATAAGCTCCCCCTTGTTCAGGTCAGCTGTCTCTGGTCAGCTGTCTGCCTGGTCTTGACCCCATTTTCTTATCACACCACCCTCTCTACAACTAGATTCCAGGAGTTCAGCTCCGTGTTTAGCAGTGGGTGTCTGCTTCTGTTTCCATCACCTACTAGATGAGGCTCTCTGATTGAATATATGTTAGTTATTAATCTTATTACCAGGGAAGGGTATTTAAGGTAGCCTTTCCACTGTTGCTCAGATTGTTAGTTGGGGTCAGTCTTGTAGGTCTCTGGACATTTCTCTAGAGTCAATTTTCTCTTCAAACCTATAATGGCTCCCTCTATTATGGTATCTCTTTTTTTGCTCTCATCTATTCCTCCCCTGACTCAATCTTCCTAATCCCACATGTCCTCCTCTCCTCCCCTTCTCTTTCTCCTAACTCCCAGTCCACTCACTGGTCCCCTCCCACTCCCGATATGCTCAGGAGACCTTGTTCCTTTCCCCTTCTGTGAGGGTCTTTGTATGAATCTCTTAGGTTCCTCCTTGTATACTAGTTTCTCTGGCGGCATGGATTATAGGCTGATGATCCTTTGTTCTATGTCTAAAATCCATATATGAGTGAGTACATACCATGTTCCTCTTTTTGTGACTGGGTTACCTCACTCAGGATGGTTTCTTCAAGTTCCATCCATTTGCCTGAGAATTTCGAGATTCCATTGTTTTGTTGTGTTTTGTTTTGTTTTTTCCCACTGAGTAGTATTCCATTGTGTAAATGTACCACATCTTCTTTATCCATTCTTCAGTTGAGGTGCATCTAGGTTGCTTCCAGATTTTTGCTATTAAAAATAATGCTGCTACAAACATAGTTGAACAGACGTCTTTGTTGCATGGATGTGGATCATTTAGGTATATGCCTAAGAGTAGGATTGCCAAGTCCTGTGGTAAACTGGTTCAAATTTTCTTGAGGAACCACCATACTGATCTCCAAAATGGCTGTACAAGTTTGCACTCCCACCAGCAGTGGAGGAGTGTTCCCCTTTCTCCACATCCTCTCCAGTATAAGCTATCATTGGTGTTTCTAATTTTAGCCATTCTGACAGGAGTAAGATGGTATCTCAGAGTTGTTTTGATTTGCATTTCCCTGATGGCTAAGGATGTTGAGCACTTTCTTAAGTGTCTTTCAGCCATTTTGGATTCCTCTATTGAGAATTCTCTATTCAATTTTGTACCCCACTTTTTAGTAGGATTATTTGGTGTTTGGGTGACTTGCTTCTTGAGTTCTTTGTATATTTTGGAGATCAGCCCTCTGTCAGATGTGGGTTGGTAAAGATCTTTTCCCAGTCTGTAGGCTGCCGTTTCTGTCACTATTTGCAGATGATATGATAGTTTACATAAGTGACCCAAAAAAACTCTACCAGGGAACTCCTACAGCTGATAAACACATTCAGCAAATTAGAGGGATACAAGATTAATTCAAAAAAGTCAGTAGCCCTACTATATACAGACGATAAAGGGGCTGAGAAAGAAATCAGAGAAACATTACCCTTTACAATAGCCACAAAAAACATAAAGCATCTTGGGGTAACGCTTACCAAACAAGTGAAAGACCTATATAGCAAAAATTTTGTGTCTTTAAAGAAAGAAATTAAAGAAGATACCATCAAATGGGAAGATCTCCCATGCTCTTGGATAGATAGGATAAACATAGTAAAAATGGCAATCTTGCAAAAAGAAATCTACAGATTAAATGCAATCCCCATCAAAATCTCAGCACAATTTTTCACAGACCTTGAAAGGACAATACTCAACTTTATATGGAAAAACAAAAGACCCAGGATAGCCAAAACAACCCTGTACAATAAAAGAACTTCAGGAGGTATCACCATCCCCAACTTTAAGCTCTACTATAGAGCTATAGTCCTGAAAACAGCTTGGTATTGGCACACACACACACAAAAAAAAGACAGGTAGACCAATGTAATGGAATCGAAAATCCTGATATTAACCCACACATCTACGAACACCTGATTTTTGACAAAACAGCTAAAATTATACAATGGAAGGAGGAAAGCATCTACAACAAATGGTGCTGGCACAACTGGATGATGGTGTGTAGAAGACTGCAGATAGATCCATGTCTATTGCCATGCACAAAACTTAAGTCCAAATGGATCAAAGACCTCAACATAAATCCAGCCACACTGAACCTCTTAGAAGAGAAAGTGGGAGGTACCCTTGAACAAATTGGTACAGGAGACCACTTCCTGAACATAACTCCAGTAGCACCAACACTGAGATCAACAATTAATAAATGGGACCTCCTCAAACTGAGATGCTTCTGTAAGGCAAAGGACACAGTCAATAAATAAGAAATGTTAAGCGAATCTCTTATGATAAATCACTTGGGCTGTAGCAAATGCCCTTTGCCAATGCTCATGAACCATATTTCCCTTAGAAATATATTTACAGTTCAAAGTTTACATACAATTATCTCTTAGGTACCCACCCCATATATCACAGAGCTGAGAGAGGTATTGGGGTCCCTAAACATTCCATGCACCTACTATTATGCTGTCTTACTTTCCAGTTTGTCTTCTTTCCATGGCCCCAAAAGACTCTCTTCATATCATTTGTATTTGTAAAGCTCTAGAAAGTTTTTTCCGCTCCCCTGCTTTTGCTATTTGTGTATTCACAAAGTCTTAAATGGCTATAAAAACTATAAACTATCAGTAGGTGCCACTATCCAATGGGGGATGCTGCTGCATTACTTTGCTGGACACTTAGAGGTTTCCAACTGGCTACAAAGCCATCATCCCTTAGATTAAAAAAAAACAAAAAAAAAAACAAAAAAAAACAAACAAAAAAAAAAAAAACAGTAAGTGAAATGGCATGCATTCTAATGCATTCTAGCAACTTAGAATAAAGACATTCCACTCTACTTCCTACTGGATATATAATGACATGACCATGGGTAGAGGGGTTGGGAATCAAATTCAGGATTTGCTGGGCAAATGCTCCAGCTCTAGGCCACACTTCAAAGTCCACTTTTAAAATCAAGTCTTTAGAGTCTGGGATACTCTGGCTCCTAAAAGTAAGCCTGTGGTGATATTTTGTTTGTGCTCTAAAAATAAAGCTTACCTGAAGATCAGAATGTAGAGTTAGCCACTAGTTAACCATAGAGGCCAGACAGTGGTGGCACCACCTTTGATCCCAGCACTTGGGAGGTGGAGACAGGAATATAAGGCCGGTGGAGGAGACAGGATCTCTTGCTCATTGAATCTGAGGATTCATAGAGACAGGAGCTCAGCCCCTTCCTTCACTCTGAGGATTTAGTAGAGCTAAGAGGTCTCTCAAGTAGCTTCTCCTTTACTTCTCTGATCATTTAGCATTTACTCTGATATCTAACTCTGGGTTCTTACTGTTAAGACTAATTAGGATCATACTACATGGAGTGTACCTCTTGTCTAGTGAGAATTTATATTTTGTAATCTCTGAAGAGAGTACATTTCATTGATTCATTTTGACGACAGTCAATCTATCAAATATTACTTCTCATATTCATTGATTTCCAATTAGCGAGATCCATCTATGATAACAACTTTATAAGCCAAGTAGTAGTTAATACCAAAGCTGAGCAAGTACTTTACAGAACAAGATCTTTAAAGAACAGTCAAGAATTTAGGATGGAGATTTATTATTTGCCTTATTCTCTGTTTTCTCTGCTACAATTTGCTTTTCAACTATTTACCTAATTGGAACCTCCACTTGAAGTCAGGAAACCTTCACATAAAAAGAAACAAACTAGTGGCCTGAAGGCTGAGAAGACAGCTCAGTGAGGAAAGCACTTACTATACTAGCATAAGGCCCTCAGTCTGGATACCCTGGACCCACAGCAAAGCCAGGCATGGCAGCACAGGGGACCAGCACTGGGGAGCCAGGGAAGACTGACAGATCATAGGCTCTTACTAAGTGAGCTTAAACAGTGAGCTTTGGCTTCAGTAAGAGACCCTGTCTCAAAGAATACAGTGGAGATGTGATTGACTGGCCTCCTCACGTGAGTACACGGGTAAATACACCATAAGTGCACATTTGAAAGCTCTGTTCAAAGTAAGTCAACAAATAATCTACAGAATTAATTTAATCTTGTTATCTCAACTTGTACTGTATACACACAGACAGACAGACAGACACACACACACACACACACACACACACACACACACTATAATATAACAAAGGTTACCCTACTAAGTGGCCACAAGTTTAGAAACAGATTTTTAGGCCCAATATGAATTGCACTGGAAAAAATCAGATCATTACAAAAGACTCTATGGCATTTCCATAACAGCCAGGGAGCTTTAGGTAAATTACATCAAATCCCTGGCCACAATTTTCTAAATTGTCAATGTGACTGAAATAAGTGAGCTGTGGTAGAGCAAGACTACAATCCAGTATAACTAGAAATCATGGTGAAGGTCCAGTCTCAAAACACAGGACGATCTCCAGGGGTCTCTTACCATAATGTATTCTTTAATTTAAAAGCAAAGATTTTTATGCAAAACATGAGGTATAAGAAAAATTTTTTGGTAATTAGTTCATTATTTTTTTCCACATTGACACTATCCAAATGTCAATTAATGACTATCAATTTATCAATTATGGACAAATAAATGGCCTTTCTTAATACCACAAAACCATACTATGGTTATTGTAGGAAGTCTTCACTGACCTGGTGCGACCACATTTACTCTGATTTTCTTCCGTGCAACCTCTTTAGCAAGCGAGCGAGAAAACCCAATGAGCCCTCCTTTGCTGGCACTGTACACAGACTGGCCCACATTGCCTTTTAAGCCAATTATACTCCCTGCATGAAAGAGGAAACAAAGCAAGTGTGAACCAATTGGCTTGTTATCTGAGAATTCACAGAATGTACAGTCCACAAATAAGAATGGTAAACCCACCTTCCTCCATTCTTTGCTAAAATGAGTAACTCTAAGTTCTGTCCTGGGAGCGGTAGCATTGAAAGGATTCAACCTGATCCACACACACAGCTAACAGAAACTGGAAGAAATGATGTAAGCCCACCAGGACCAGGGAAGAGGTTTGCGTGACCTGTTACATGTATAAAAGGTTGGAAGAGGTCAGGTAAGAATCCTGGGTCTGACAGTGTGACAGTAAGAGTGAGAAAATCCCCCTTGGTGCAGACATTTGAACACTCGGCCCCAAAGTTGGTGTCACTGTTTGGGGAAGTTTAGGAGGTGTGGCCTTGCTGGAAGTGTGTAGTGGGGGAGGGGGGGCTTTAGAAGTACATAGCTTCACCCCACTTCCAGTTCTCTCTTTGCTTAGTGCCTGAGGTTGAGATGTCATCACCTCTCAGCTTCCTGCTTCTGCCACCATGCCTGCCTCTTGCATCCCCACCATGATGGACTTGTATCCCTCAGGTACCATAAGCCAAAATAAACTCTTTCTTTTATAAATATTCTCAGTCATGGATTTTATCACAGCAACAGAAAAATAACAAACATGGGCAGAAGTTAAAGCCAGAAACATAAAGTAAAAACTGGATAATTTTATGATTCTATAGTAGATATAAACAAGTATTCACTTTCATATACAAGAATGAATCCAGTACATTTAAACTACTGTCAATCAAAAATTCCTAACAATGCAATTTTGCTACTTCTGTTTATATTTACCTTGTACTTGCTACTAAACATTACTCACTGACCTTGTCTAATAAACATGTAAGAATAATTTATAACTCAAATATCAATTTATGCAAATACATTCTGGCAAAACAGAAGTAGGGAAGTAATTTTCTGGACCACCGACCTGTGCTTACAAAATAAAAATTGAACAGGAACCTAACACACGCACACAAAATTGAAATTACTTTAGAAAAAGGGAATATTCTACTTTTTTATTGTATTCAAGAAGCCCAGTGTTGAAATGTTTACTTACATTACACAGTCAACCATTGTTTGATGACAGTAACTTGCCTTAAGAAATACACTGTAAGGTGGTTTCACAGGAGTGAGAGCATCCCAGAGTATGCTTACATAAAACAAGCTGTTACAGTCCACTTCTCCTGCACTAGATACATCCCCCACTATTCCCAAGCTACAAACCCATGTGACTTGAATCACAGATTGACAAACAGTGATGGACAGATGTATATCTAAACATGAAGAAGAACAGTAAAATTAGTGAAGAATGATCTACAGAACTGCTGTCATTTGTCTGCTCTTCACCAGCTTATTTGGCACATTACCAACCATGGTACCTCAGAGGAGGAGAGAAGAGAGGCCATCGGGGAAAGAAAAGAGGTGGGCAGGAGAAGGGGTGTGGGGAGAGAAGAAGGAAGGAAGGGAGGAGGGAGGGAGGGAGGGAGGGAGGGAGGGAGGGAGGGAGGGAGGGAGGGAGGAAAGGAAGGAAGGAAGGAAGGAAGGAAGGAAGGAAGGAAGGAAGGAAGGAAGGAAGAAGTTCCAGGCATGGCAGAAAGGCCCAAGGGGAAACTTTCTTAACTAACAGACCATGCTCCGTTTTCATTTGGTCAAAGTAATGACTTCTGAAATACCAATAAGTCTATAAGTTCAGCCTTTTCTGTGGTACTTTTCTATAGAATAAGTATGTCCCTTATTATAAATGCATCAGTCTTAGCAACATTCTACAATTTTGAGGACTTAGGTTTCTAAAACTTATCTAAAATGTAGGTATTTTAACAAATATGCCCTGTGATATCCAGCCAGTCTCAGGTGACAGGTCTTAAGAATCCAAAATCTGAAGTGGTTAGGTCACCAATTCCTCCTAAGGGCACTAAAATTTATTGTAACTGTCTAAGGTATTGCTTGCCATTTAAAAATAAAAGAGCAGATAGTCTGCTACAATTTTCAAGTACTAAACTGAAATCAAATGCCAATATTCTGCACTTTCTGCTCTTCAGGCATGAACCCCCACAACGCCTCTTCCCTGTGATTCCAACAAACTAAAGGCTACTTACATGCACTCTGAAAAGCTGTTTAATGTTCCTTAACCCTTGGCACTAGACAGATCAGTGATCCATGCAATTGCTGTAAATAATTATTATTTAGCCTCCATGCCTACAAGTTTCCTTTTTTAACTTGAAAAATTAGACTGGATTTCTTTGAAATTTTTAAAAATAAAATATAATGGCATCCTTTTCTACTTCCTTTTCCTTCCTCCCATTTGCCCCCTCCCATTTGCCCCCTCACACTACTGTGGTGGTTTGAAAGAAAATGGCCCCCGAAGAGTGGTACTATTAGGAGGTATGGACTTACTAGAGTGGATGTGGCATTGTTGGAGGAAGTGTGTCACTGTAGAGATGGGCTTTGCGGACTCATATACACTCAAGCCACACCCAATGAGACAGACCACTTGCTATTGCCTGTGAGTCAAGATATAAGAACTTGCAGCACCTTCTCCAGCACCATGTCTGCCTGCACGATGCCAAAATGATAATAGACTGAACTGTAAGCCACCACCTCAATTAAATGTTTTCCTTATAAGAGTTGCTGTGGTCATAGTGTCTCTTTACAGCAATAGGAACCCCTAACTAAAACATCTACTGATATATCACTGTCCATGTCTTGCTTAGGCAGCCATGTTGTTGAGGTATTATGGGTGTAGTATATTATTTCTAGGAATCACAATCTCACAGTACATTATCTGGCCCTTTGGCTCTTACAATCATTAAAGGTTTGACAAAAAAGAAAAGGAAAGGAAAGAGAAGTGGAAGGGAGGGGAGGGGAAGGAAAAGGAAAAGGAAGAGGAAGAGGAAAAAGAAAAAAGGAGACTGGATGCCTAACTTCTGTTGAAAATTGAGACTGCTGACATTCATATACAGCAAGTCTGTTAGATGTGTGCATCTGTGGCCTCTCCCATTCCATACAGTCTTGAAACACTGAATCTAGATGCCATTTGTCACATGGCTTCTACTGTCATTTTTAATACATGGTAAGTCACTCATTTAATGCCCATCTGACTGCTGTGGAGATGTACATCTGAGAGCTCTGTCCCATTCATCAATCAGTTAAACTTCAAGTGAATCAGTGGATTAGGTTTATATGCAGAAATTATAAACACAGGAAGGTGAATACTCACCTACATTCACGATGGATCCGCCCCGCTGGATCATCGTCCTCATGGCAGCTTTGCATGTCAGCATGGAGCCCAAGAGGTTAGTGTGAAGCTGAGATACCATATCTTCAGTTTTTGTTCTTACTAAAAGACCATCTCTACAAAGAAGAAACAGCAGGACCATCAACAAGTAGATGGACAATTCTTGTGGCTGGAGAACTGGCTCAGAGTTAAGAGTTCCAGCTGCTCTTTCAGGAGAACCTACTTCAGTTCCCAGCACCCATGTCAGGAAACTCACAACAAGCTGGAGCTCCAGCTCCAGAGCATTCAACATCCACTTTAGGGTTCCACAGGCAACCACTCATATGCTCACTCTCATACACACACAAAATTTTTAAAATAGCAAAAATAAGCTGGGTATTGGGGGTGCACCCCTTTAGTCCCAGCACTCAGGAGGCAGAGATAGGCAGATCTCTGTGTTCAAGGCCAGTCTGACCTACAGAGTGAGTTCTATGACAGCTAGGACTGTTACACAGAGAAACCTAGTCTCAAGCAACAAAGCAACAAACTAGCAAAAGTAAGTCTTTTTAAAAACTCAAGTCAAGGCATACATACAATTCTGACTTAAAATAAGTATAAGCTATTCTTTCTAGCTAAGTGCAGAGCAGTCCCATTTTGAACTTGACTTTAAAACTACTAAATAAGCTATTGATGAGCCAGAAAGAAAAGCATGGTTCTCGGCCTGTCTACCAGAGTGACAAATGTTGCCAGTGGCTAAACACAGGATCAAACTACCAAAAGGGCTAACCTACTGCCAGTTTTGCCTCATGACTAGGGTCTAATAGTTTCTCCTAAACTCATCTTTTTAAAAAATCAGCAAAACCCCCTTTCTTTTATTATTACATTTATTATTCTATAATACTACATTAGTAGTAAGCTCATTATGATCAGAACTCAGAACACTGGCTTCCTATGAGAAGAGACTAATCAGGTCTTCTGGCATGCTGGGTCACATGCTGGTGACAGTTTGTTAGGACTCATCTAATTCAACGGGACATTTATCTCAACATAGAAGAACAGGGCTAAAGAGATGACTCAATAATTGAAAGTGTACACTGATCTTCTTATAGAGGACCTGAGTTCAGTTTCCAGCACACATGTCAAGTAGCTCACAAGTGCCTATATCTCCAGCTCCAGGGCATTTTATGCTGTCTTCTAGTCTCATGAATACACACTGCAGACACACATGCACACACACATAATGTTTTTAATAAAAGAATGTACAGTTTGACACTTTCAAACTATGCCTTTCTAATTAGAAGTAAAGCAGTCTAACATGACCTCATACTAACTGTGGTGCTCTGTGTGAGAATGGCCCTCATAGGTTCGTATTTGAATACTCGGTCCCCACTTCGGGACCAAGTTTGGGAAGGATCAGAAGTGTGGCCTTGTTGGAGGAGGTATGTCACTGGGAACGGGCTTTGAGGCTTTAAAAGACTGCACTGTTCCCACTGTGTCCCATCTCTGCCTCCTATATGCAGATCAAGATGAGTCTGCAGCTGTTGCTGGTACCATGACTTCACTCCATCAACAAGACTTTAACACTCTGAAACCACACCTCCATTACACACTTTGTTTTATATATTACCTCAGTCATGGTGTTTTGTCACGGCAATGAAAAAGTAAATAAGACATAGACCTATTAAGAAAAATCTTTTTTAAAGAGATATAAGAAATTTACCTTAGTCATTGACCAACCTGTTAACACCAGCTGCATTTACCAAGAAGTTTACTGGACCTAAATGTTTCTCCATCTCTTCAAATGTATTTTGAACATCCTGTTCTTTAGCAACATCGCAGCTAAATGCCAAGTGGTTTCCTACAAAACAAAGTAAAATCAGAATTGCCTCTAAATTTTAACTTGAATTTGGAATTTATTTGTTGTATGATTAGTCTATAAGAGAAGCCTGTGCTGAACCTAGAGATGAAAACATGTGGTGGGTTCCTGCCCTCATGGACCACCCAATTAAAGGGACAGAGTGGACAGAAAGTAGAGAAGAAATAATGAGGTTTTGTTTCTTCCTCCTTTTTTGGTTTTGCTCTGAGACAAGGTCTTGCTGTGCTGCCTGACAAATGCTAGGCACGTGAAAAAAAAAACTCAGCCTGACAAATGCTAGGCACATGAAATAAAATGCCACAAAAAAAAAAAAAAAAAAAAAACCTCCAACTTTGGGTTTTCTTGCTGGGCACAGTGGTGCCCAGCTATCCCCAATGCTGGAGCTTTGCTGTACTGGGGGAGTGAGACCACAAATCCTTAAGGAGAAATAAGCTTGGAATGTTTAAAATGAATATAGCCAGGGCTAGATGATCTGGATTGAACCCTTCAGACTCATCTGCTGGAAGGAAGAGCAGTCTGTCCTCCGCCTTGCACGTGTGCACCTCCCATCTAAATAAAAAAAAAACATGTAAAGACTTGCAATAAAATCTGGGCATGAAAACTGGTACATGCCTGCAGTTCCAGCACTGAGGCAGGAGATTGCAGCTGTAAGTTTGTGGCATGGGCAGAGCAGGCTCAGTAGAGCTCCAAGTTTGATTCCCATTACCACACATAAGCAATTATACCTCAAAGGAAAAGTATCCTCTATTTAACAAGCTACTATGTTAACACGCATGATCCTTAATTTATGGTGGGGATACACCTTACTGTGTAGCCAAGATGAAACCACTGTTTGCCTGCGAACCACACACAGGGAGCAGCATGGAGTATCAGTTGGCCAGCAAACAGGAAGCAGTGCTGAATGGGCACTCGAGTTTGTGCTCACACTGGGGGGATGGAGGTAGACATCACACTGCAGGTTCAAAGCGTGTTTTGTACTGAAGGTGTCACTGTCACAGCACAGTAAGGGAATCTCAGCAATGGGGCGACTGAAGCACAAGAATCACTAGTTCAAAGCCACTCTGAATTACATATCAAGATTGTTTCCACAAAAGTACATAAATACAGCAGGCACCGGATACACCCTCAGAAGTGTAACACCCAATGCTTTCCTGATAGTGACATGTAGTTTTCTCCATTCTAGTAACAATGCTGTCTTCCATGTTGTCGTCTCACAGTCATCGAAACTTAAACTTGCAATTCAATGACTAATCCGTTATTAATACTGCGTGCGCGGGAGGAGGGGCGGGGGAGGAATTGGAATGCAATTAAAAGGACCTAGCAAAACAAATTAGTAGCTTATTAAAGTGTTAGATTAGGGTTGCTTCCCCAAGCTGATCAATCAGCTGGCTGCTACTCAAGAGTTTCTCTTTGAAATACTGCTGTGTGCCTTCGCACAGGGCAAGAGCCCTCGGGAAAATTCAATCTAGCCGTTTCTACCAGGCAGCCTGACCTTCCTGACTTCGCTCTTTTCGGTCTGATCGGGTCCTGTTGTCTCCTACCAGAGGCCCGAGCAAGGCGGCTCTCAATGTCAGTACTGGCCGTGGGGCGAAGGCTACTTCTCGGGAGTCCTGCCTGTGGTGGGCGACAGCCCCACTGAGGACCTGGCCTGCAGACTGGTCTACCCGGCCAGTGACCCGGGGGCTTGCACCGCGGCCGCGCGGCGGGGCACTTCTTCCGGTACCTACCGCCGAGCTCGCCGGCGGCGGCTTTGGCTATTTCCAGGTTTCTGGCCACTATCGCCAGACGGTAGCCCTTCTGTGCCATTAGCTGGGCTACAGCCCTGCCGATCCCCCGGGAGCCGCCAAAAACCGCACAGACTTTGTCCATCTTGAACCCCGGGACAAGCAAGATGGAGCCCTAGGAGTCAGAAGGTCTAATAAGACACAGCTGCGGGGGAGAGAACGGGGGAGACAAAAAATAAAAATAAAAACGAGTAAGCAACGCCGTCCGACAGTTGACCCTGACCATAGAGCAGGGCGCAAAGAGTTATACGTGAACGCGTCGATGTTGCGTTGCATGCTGGGACCTGTAGTCCTCGCTCGGGAGGCCTGTGCCTGTGCCTGTGAGCATTGTAGCAACTTTGCTGCAGTGCTGGCTGCCTCTTCCCTTGCTGGAATAGTCAGAGACAATAGCTCAGAGACTATCGGGTTGCCTAAACCGTGGACTTTCCAGACCATACTTAGCATCCACATTATGTCCTTTTGGGTGTGTACCTTGACCTGTTTCATCCACTTTTTTTTTTTTTTTTTTTTTTTTTTTTTTTTCAGACAAAGCCTGTTGGAAAAACATAAGGCCGTCCCCTAAGTTACTGTAGACATTAGCCTTGCACTGCAACGTTAGTATGAGGGTGGATGTCCTGTCGAAGAACACTACCAGGCTGTGGTGGCCTAGGCCTGTACTTCCAGCACTCAGAAGATTGAGGCAGGAGAATTGTAAGGGAAAGAGGCCAACTAAAGAAACACACTTTGACCCTGTAACCAGAACCAAAGAAATGCACTCTGACCCTGAAACCAGTGCCAAAGGAACACACTTGGCCCCGGAATCAGAGCCAGTGAAAGAACTAACCCTAGTCCTAAAATTACAGCCAAAAGACCAAAAAGGCCAAATGAAAGGAACACACTTGGGCCCTGAAACCAGAGCCAAATCTGACCCTAAACCTGTGCAGAAAACCAACCAACCCCTAAGCATGAGATCTAGCCAGTCTGAGCTCAAGGACTGAAATCTGACCAATCCCCACCCTGGAAATCTCACTGGGAAAACTTCATCCCCCTAAGAAGCCCTATATAAAACCCTGTGTCAGTGTGGCAGAAGGCAGCTACTCTCCTGGATTCTTCCCTCCTAATAAGTCTCTTGAATGAGGTTTGGGTGAAACCTTTCTCCTCTTTTGACAGAGCAGAGACTCAGACGACCCTGAGCACAGAGGGCAAAGTGACTGGAGCCGAACTGTAAGAACTGTAACAACTTCACCAGCAAGCACTCTCCACCCTCTCCTGCAGGAGCAGAGCTGAGGCACTGGGAAAGCCTTTCCCTGAAGCAGGGCTGTAAGCTACTATGCTTACTGTGACCTGTAGTATTCCTTGGCTCCCGAGTGCCAGAATACCTTTCCAACTGAGCTGTGAGTGCCAGAATACCTTTCCAACTGAGCTGTAACACTCAGTATTCTGGCTCCAGAGTGTCAGAGTCCTTGTGCATTCCATCTGAGCTGTCAAAATGCTTACAGGGATCACTGGACCACTGAGAGTTCAAGGCCAGCCTAGTCTACAAAGTGAGAACCTGTCTCAAAGATACAACAAAGAAAGAATACTATGAAGGGGTTCAATAAATGTGCATGCTTCTCTTTCTGAGACACAGACCTGCTGTGTTACCCAGGCTGACCTCAAACCCTCAAGGATCTTCCTCCCTCAGCCTCCAGAGTGCTGGGACTGTAGGCATGGACTACCACACCCTTTATAACTGAATGACCTGAATACTCTGAAGATGAAAGATAGCTTAGATCATTGTTGACAATATTGGGTTCCTGTGTAAGACCCTAATTCCAGGGTCCTGTTGGGCCGATGGGAGAGCCCTGCGACATAAACACCAAAACCAGGAGATGCAACAAGCAAGAGGCGTTTATTGAATGAGTGTGCACTGGGGTGTCAGAAATCTCGGGGAAAGCTGTACACCCTCAAAGGGTTCAGGCTCTTTTTATAGAGAAGACTGCAAATCAGCATACATGCATGGGGCACAAGGTGATTGATTACAAAGTATGATCTCATGTTTGAGAGATCACCCAGGTGTGACCTGTTCTTCTTTAAAAGAAAAACCATAGAATGTACCTTAGAAAGTCCCCAGACTGTCCATTGACCAGGTGTGACGCAGACAGGGCTGTTCATCTGGAACCATTTGTTCCAGGGTTGGGGTTTATTTCCCTGTTGTGGGCCAAGACTTGTGAGAAACTTCTTTCATACTCTGGCTTTCTCTTGGCTGTACATTTAGAGCCTTCAGTTATTCCACAAAGGTTTGATGACTCAGTAACTAGCCCTATTTAGCAAGATCATCCTAGCATATAACTACTAGCCCCATCACCATAGTAACCTTTCTTGTTCTCATAATTCCTGATCTTTCCACCCATGTCAATGTCCATTCTTTGTGATTTTCTATATTCTGCTTGCAAGAACTATTTTTCTTATCCTTTGCTACATCCTTGCTCTGCAAACTAAAGTCTTTCACCTGTACTCCTAAATAAATTGTTCCGCATGCTTAAAAAAAAAAAAAAGGCAGCTAAGCAGTGGTGGTGCATGCCTTTGACCTCAGCACTCCAGAGACAGAGAGACAGAGGCAAATGGGTCTCTGTGAGGCCAACCTGATCTACAAAGCTAGTTCTAGAACAGCCAGGGCTACACAGAGAAACCATGTCTCAAAAAAACAAACAAACAAAAAACAAAAGGCAGCTGAGTGTGGTGGTGCATGCCTTTTAATGCCAGCCCTGAGGAGGCTACTTGGTATATGGAGGGAGTTCCAGGACAGCCAGGGCTACTGGGGGAAATGCTATCTCAACCTCCCACCCCCTGGAAATAAATAAATAAACCAACATCTGTTTCTTTCTAGTGTAAACGGAAACATTTCTTGACAGAGTACCAGTAAACTGGATTCAGAAAATACAAGCCATGGTCCTGTGGTTAAAAAACATACTCACACAACCTGGGGCAACAAAATTAATTCACATAAAACACGACTGAGTTGAACTATTTAATAAAGTACAGAGTTGTGTTAACACCAGAATCAAAGCAAGAGGTCAGTGAGGAGTGAAATCGGAAAAGCTGAAGCTGCATGCTGATCCAAAAATGGGGAGGAAGATTGCTTTAGGAAAGCAGAGCCTTGTTCTTAAAGCTTTTGTTTTCTTTCACCTAAAAACAAATGGGATTTGAAGCAGCTGAAAAATACATGAGTTATTTTTCAAGTGTTCTATTTTACTGTGTTCTGATTGAGATGTGGTCTTGTCACACAGCAGTTCAGGCTGGTCTCAAACTCATGGTTGTCTTGCGTGAGCCTGATAAGTTCTGGGGTTTTTAGGCATGCCCCAACTCTCCAGGTTTCTCATGTGTTTGTTTGTTTGTTTGTGTGTGTGTGTGTCTATGATTATTTTTTCCAGAATTTCATATATACATACAATATTGGTCACTCATTCCTTATGTTCCCCTCTTAAACTCCTCCCAAAGACCACCAAATGTTCCCTTCCCAACTTCATAAAATGCTTACATAATTTATATTATATATTACACAAATATTCCACAGAGTCCTATCTTGCTGTTCACACATGGATGGGATGGGATCATCCACTGGAGCATGATCAAACTACCAAGAAGCACACCCCTAAAGAAAATTAACTCCCCCTTCCCTAGCAACTGTTAATAGTTCCTCACCTGGGAGGACAGTCATGTGCCCCCTCCCAACCATGATGGAATGCTGACTGGGTTAACCTGATGCAAGTCTTGTGCAGGCAACCACAGCTACTGTGAAAGCAGTGGTCCTGTCAGGTCCACAGGACACTATTTTGCTCTGTCTTCCTCGATCTCTGACCTTACAGTCATTCTTCTCCCTCTTCAGCAATGTTCCCTGAGCTTTAAGGGAGAGAAGGTGTGACACAGGTGTCCTATACACTTTTTCTCTGTGTTTCTCAGCAATTATAATACTCTGTGTTGATTGTCATCTACTGTAAAGAAGCTTTTCTGATGAGATCTGAGAACTGCACTAATCTATCAGAATAAGGATATACCCTTAGAAGGCATTTCGATACTATGTCCATGTAGCAAAAATAAAAGTAACAAGTTCAGTTCTAGAGTCTATGGGCTTCCTAGCCACATATTCTTGGCCAGATTTACAATGCCCATTATCAGTTTTCTCCAGTGTATAAAGTCTCAAATCGTATGAGAAAAATGTTGGTTATCCAATAGTGATGCCATGGGCATGTTTGTGCCAGGACAGACCTTATCATAGCTTTCCAGGTTCATATCAAGACTGCTATGAGTTTACTCTTCAATCAGCCAACATAGCACCTTTTCATACTATGACAGCTAATCAACAGAGAAAAAGCTTCCTAGCCATTACTGGTTTGATTTCTCCAAGTCCTACAGTCCTATGGCCAGAGTGTGTGCTGTCTTCAGCAATACTGTCATACTGACACCTTCTGATGGGTAGCCAAGAGGAAAGGCAACAGCTTGTATTGTCTTGGAAGAATGTAGGCTTCTCTTGGCTAACAACTTTAGGGGAGAAATCTAATGCTTGTCACTGGGATTTTTACTTGTTAGCCTATGGCTTCTGAGAAGAGTATTATCCCTCTGTGTAAGATAAGGAGTTAACCATTTCAAAAGGCAAAAATGGCCAAGACTTGGTGATAAAAGCCTATAATCCCTATAGTCCCTGGAGAGGTGAGGCATGAGGTGTGAAAGTCCACAGCCTTCCCTGATTACAGAATGAGCTCAAGAATAACCTGGGCAATTTAATAAAACATGGATTGAACAAAAATTAAAGACCAAAGATGGGTGGATGGCCATCAAATTGTCTCAGAGGGTAAAGGAGCTCATTGTGTAAGCCTGATAACTTGGCATACATCCTGGAACCCACACAAAGATGGATGGAGAGTACCAACTCCCTATGTACACCATGGCAACGCACCCCTAGACATTTGCATCATGCACACAATAAATAAACGTTTTTCTAAGATGGAGGTGCACATCAGTAGAAGCACTAGCACATCATGGAAAACATCCTTGATTCAATCTGTAGTGCTATAAAAAGATCAGCAAAGGCAGCTGGAGAGATGGCTGAGAGCTTAAGAGCACTGGCTGCTCTTCCAGAAGACAGGAGTTCAATTCCCAGCACCCACATGGCAGCTCACAACTGACTGTAACTCCA